GAACGATTAACCGTACCTATTTTCTCGCGTAATATATAATATTCAGCGTTAAACGTTACTTACTACCCGGTCGCCCAGTTTTATATCTCTTAGAACTGCGTAAAAGATAGTTGAAATTTAAGGGAAGATGTCGTCTGTGTGTCTAAACACCGGGAACGCGCGTATGAATAATGTAGGTCGAGACGTCCATTGCTCAAGCGACGTGATAATGATCAGTCGGCGCTGCGGACAGAGGCGCATCACCACAACCGCGGATTGATCTTTATTAACGAACGATAGGAAAATAATTTTGGCAATAATCGAACGGGGAGAGGGAAAGAGAGAAGAGTCGAGCGCGGTTTTTGGTTGGTCCGATTATGCATGCGGAGCACCCATTGTGTGGGTGGGGGAGAAGGTTGTCGGCACTGCCGAGCATCTGGAGCGGAGTGCGCGTACTCCGCGCGATCGGGGGGAAGGAGGTTGCGCGCAGCTGGAAAGACGAGGATGGAAACAGGCGCGTTGACAAGAGAGAGAGAGAGAAAGAGAGAGAAGAGAGAAGCCGGCGCGCGAGCACCCGATACGCGAGGAAGAAAGAAAGAGAGTCGGAACAGAAGGGAAAGACAGATCGGATGGAGATAGAGATAGGGGGGAAACCTTACCGCGCTTTGGTCCTCGAGGCTGACCGAAGTGGAAGCAACCAAGTGGGGAAAAGACAGACTCGCCACTGTGTATTATGTGGTACTGAAAACGCGGAGGAACAAGCCGGCGCGCGCGCGCAAAGAAAAAGGACAAAAGGAATTATATATATATATATATATACATATATATACAGGATCGTTTCTGTGTTTACAGAGATGCGATTGAAATGCCGAATGGCTCTCTCCTTATAGGTGTATCGGATTACCGATCAAATCTTATCTACCGTTGTTGTCACTAGTCTTCTATTGTTTTTGGTGTCGTTATTTCTCCTCTTTCCAGCGATCGCGCCCGTTTGAAGAATCTAATCGCTATAATTGTTCCGCTACGAAAGCGGAACGAAATTTGTAGCGACGACGATATCTCTCTCGCGGGGGGTCATTTACCTTCGGCGAGAGCCGAAAATTGATCGCTAACAAGTTCCCATTAATCACGCGCGTTCTCTCTCCGCGCGTTCGATCATTATCTCTGGATATATTATTCCGATACCTTTACTTAACCCTATCGATCGTGATCGATACCACGCGGGGAGTGTGCCTGCCGACGCGTGCTCGCGCGTACCCTAACCGGACCGGGAAAGTTTTTGAGCGCGCGAAAGAAGCGCGCGCAAAACCGGAGTCGCGGAGGTGTGTGAGACAAAGAGAGAGAGAGAGAAACAGGTGGCGGCGGTGAATCGAGCGGAAGGGAGAGAGTGCCACGCGACAAGCAGACGGACGAACAGAGACGGAAGCGGTCGGGCTGGTTGGAGCGGTGGCGGGAGCTGTTCACGGGTGAGGCGGAGGCGGCGGCGGCGGTGGCGGCGGCGAGGATAGTGCGCTAGGCGAGAGGCGTCGAGGGAACGAGAGACGTGAGAGGACAAATGACGACGCGCGCGAGCCGTCGACAGGGCCGTACGCGCGGAGGAGAGCACGCGACACGCGTTCCCAGGAGTCTCGCGCGCGCGCGCGCGCGCTTTCGAGCATACCTCCTCGAGATAGTAACTGCGCGTTTTTTCTTTTCTTTTTTTTTTTTTTACTTTCTCTCGGAGGAACGCGCCGTTATCCGACGACACGCGCGTGTTCTCCTCGCGCGTGTCGTTCGTCGTACAACGTACGTATATACACTTGGCACGTTGCGGCGGATTGAAAACGAAAATTGTCCTGCAACTCGTTTTTTTTTTTGCAACGCGATATTTCGTTAGAAGAAGCAATCGCGTGCGAGATGAATTTGTTGTCTTCGGAGCCGCGCGCTTGATATCAATATCGCTGAATAAAGGAGAACGGCATTCTGCGGTTTGTCCTTGCGCGTGTATGACGTTCCTTCTGTTTCCAAGTCGCCGCGGATGATGACGCGGGACGCAATTGAAATACCGGTCGCAGAAGAGAAAGGGACCGTCGTCGGACCGTGGTTGAACAAATTTAGAACGGCCGCAATATGTGTCAGGAATTTTCGCAAATCAATTCCGTCGCGCGGATATACGCGATTCCTAGTTTTTTTCTTTGCATCGTATCTTAATTTCTTTTTTTTTTTATACGCCGCCGCAGAGCTCTGTGCGCTCTCTCTCTCTCTCTCTGCGTCTATTTTTCGATTTAGCATCTATCGATACGCGAATGTCACGCGCGATAAGAACATGACGCGATCGAGGAGCAATTTGCGAAAGAAATCCTTTGTTTACATCTTCGTGTGTTGTGTCTTACAAGTATGTACACAATTGTTGATACAAAAGATATATATATATATATATAGAGAGAGAGAGAGAGAGAAAGAGGCCTGTACTTATACAAAAGCCAGCTGGAGATTCTTCAGCACAGCTGTGGATTGTTTGCGTCCACCTTTCTCTCCCTACACAATCTCTCGCTCGCTTTGCTCCCTTTGCGCCGCCCTCGCCGCACTTGCGCGCGCTTTAGGGACCAACCGCGGGAGCCCTTGCTCACTTCGTATAATACGGGGTGTATGTACGCACACACCCGAGGACTCTACCGATAAATAGAATTACGCGTTTTGCCCGCAAAAGAGCTTAAACCGCTGCGCGCGTAACTTTTGAATAAAACACGAATATGAGAATGTATGCGGCCCCGGCGCTCTAACGCGCGCCGCCCCGTACGAGAGAGAGAGAGAGAGAGAGCAAACGCGCGATATTGGTAATGAAAAATATGGTACCGGGGATCGATGTAATGGAAGCTTAAAAATGAATAAGTTACAATACGAATACGGATTCAACGAATATCCCCACGACCGCGCCACGCGCCAGTCGGCGGAGAAAACAACAGAGAGAAAGAATAAATTCAATAAATAGAAAGTTTATTGTCGTAACAAGAACGCATATCGTCTGATCAATCCAGGTTTTTTTCTTGATATCGCGTGCGAATTAAAATCGTTGCGTAACATAATCAGAGCAAAAAAAAACTCCCTCTCCAAGTTTTCGATTTTTTTACCTTTTTTTAAGTATCCTTTTGAATAACAAGAAACGATAATTTGTTTTTTTTTTCGGGACCGTTTGATTTGTAGTTGCGTCAAAAGACAGATAACTATGTAATAGTGTTGACGAAATGTAATATTTTAATGGCTCAGAAAGAGATGCCACTTTCTTTTATACTCGTTTCTTGTACTTTCTACGCTACATACATATATATGTAGGTTGCAGTGTCGGATGCTCTCGTGCAAAGTGAACAAGATCGCAATAGTTCGCGGTAAGAAACTATACATTTATAGAATTGGTAGAAAAATTTATATATTTTAATATATCAGTGATAAAAAAATAGAGATTACTCTCAGGCTCTAGAAGTCTTTTAACTGATAATATATGATAAGGACATGAAGAGCAAATTTTTTCGCAATATTTTAAAATTAGTTCGGGGGGTATACGTCCTTCATATATATATGTGGTGCAAATCCAGCATCCTATACGGAGGAAAACAATTATTTCAAAGTATATATGTGTATACATATACATATATATATATATATATGGACCGTTTATTTTGAAAGTGGTGTAAGTCCATTTGTTCTTTTGTTTCGAGAAACTTATAGGTTAACATATCTGTCAATTATGAATTATGAATTACGTGATATCTCATTTTTTTTCAAAAATGGACTTACACACCACTTTCAAAATAAACGGTCCATATATATATACATATATATATTTAAAACACATTCACAACGTCCTGCGAACGGCTCTTCATGCCCTTATCGTATATCATTAGTTTATATATTTTCCTTTTCTCTAGAATTTCACAATATTCTCGACAAAGAGGATAACAAAATGTTTGCGTTATAGTTATTAACAAGATCGCATATATGCGATGAATTCTTTTGAAAAAAAAAAAAAAGAATTCGCTTCACGATGTTGATGGTCTGGTTAAGAGAGATCCGACCTAGATCGCCGATCGTTTATTGTCTCGCTTGTCAACGTCAGGAGCAAACGTTCTCTCACGACGTGGACACCTTGTAGACTCGGGTAAACGTGATTCCCGGCACAAGGTGGCCGTGTAATAAGCTCTCACGTTTACTGCTTGTCGGTTTTACGTTCGTAGCGTAAGACCGAGGGGGAGGACGCAAAGAGAGGGAATACGACGCGGCAAAAGAGCGAAAAAGCACGCGGTAGGGTGCGCGAAGGGTGGCGGACAGGAGTGAGGGGGCGGGAGGGAGGACAGAGAGAACGGGTGGAAGAGGTGGTGCGCGCGCGAGCGAGTTCTCTCACGTCTCTCGAGGAAGAAAGACAGCGTGAAATACAGTGGGGAACACAGAGGATTCACGGATGCCTTCGAGTTCTCTCTCTCTCTCTCTCTCTCTCTCTCCACATTAACTGCCGTGGACCATGCTCGAGGTTCGAGGAACTAGTAGGACGATGAGGAGGCGGCCGACGACGAGAGGGTGAACCGAGGGGGATGGCGCGAGAAGGGGAACGGCAATAGGTGCGGTATACACTGCCACGGGTGAGACACACTTCGTCCACCGAAGTGGTATGAAGCCGGGGAGAGAGAGAGAGAGAGACAGAGAGAGAGGAGGAGGAGGAAGAGGAGAGAGAGGAAGGAAGGGAAGAGAGAGAGAGAGAGAAATCGCGTCGAGAAAAGGTAGTGGCGCGCGCAGAGGCCGGGAGGAGGATGAGGCGACGGGGGCTAGAGCGGGTCAGACGTTCCATCGTTGCTCCGAGCAAGATGGGCGCCGGGATGGGCGCGCGAGAGCAGCGAGGGCGAGAGAGAAAACCGAGAGGGTGAGGGCGAAAGGGAGGAAGGCGGCCGGCATCGAGCAGGGTGAGAGCAGGTGGCGCGGGACGGCGGGGAGGGTTCGTGGGTGGCAGCTGAGTACGGAGTGATAGGGGAAATCAGTCGCGGTTCGAGTACCGCCGCGAATGCACGTAAGCGACGTTTGTTGTCGCGCCGCCCGCTACTTTTTCTCTCTCTCTCTCTCTCCTTTTCTTTTTGCCCTCTCTCTCTCTATCCCTCCCTCCCTCTCTCTCTCGCTCGTTATATATCTTCTCTATTTCTACCCACAACTCATCTTCTCTCTGTCATTCAACTCTCTTCGCGGACGTTATCTTTTTTTCTCTCTTTCCTTCCGGCCGTGATCCTCTCTTGGGTTATATATGTAAAACGTAGCCCCCGCGTACATCTGACTCCTCCTGTCTGAAGGCTGCCGCTCCGGACACAGAGCATTCGGCGAGAACGAGGACGACGCGCGCGCGTAAAACACAGAAGCGCGCGAGTTCTCGAGGAATCTCGACGAGTTTTGACCTTTCCGGCATGAGAGAGAAAAAGAGCACATATATATGTCGAAGAACGCGAGAACTCAGAGCGGGAGAAAGACCCTCCAGCTGAGAAGCGATGTAAGAAAATCCGATGATAAACAGACACGAGAGTGAGACCGTGAGAAATATAGAAAAAGAGAAATATATACGTATAGAGAGAGAGAGAGAGAGAGAGAGATAGAAATACCGAAAGAGTGAAAAGCGAGAAGGGAAAACGCGCGATCGAGCGGCGGTGAGCGGAGAGATTCATCTCTCTCGCGCGCGCCAAAAGGAGGATCCGCTCGCGCGATTTTGACCTCTCGCGCCGGGGAAAGTCGTCGCGTTTCTTCCCCCACTCGAGAGTTTCCTTCCGAAACGTGTAGAATCTTCGAGCCGGGCGGCGTAGCGAGCACGAGCCGCAACGAGCGAGGAGTAACGAACTCCTCGAAGCGGTCGGATTAAGTGTCGGCGGGGCTGCGAGTGAGTGGAAGGTGAAGAAGAGAGTAGTGGACACAAGGGGGCGCGTAGAACCCGACGGGGTGACGATACCGGTAGCCGGTTGCGAGCGGAGCGGGGATACGAAGAAGAAGAAGAAGAAGACGACGACCGGCGGAATGCTCGACTTCGAACAACAGACCAATCAGGCACCGGCACTGGCCTCGCTAGATGACGACTGGCACCTGCTCGAGGGTGAGTGTACGACCTTCGCAATTTTCCTTTCTCTCTTTCATCGCGCCTTTCGTCGAAAGGCGCGCGCGAAAACCGGTAGACCCGAAGCCGCCGCACATTGCCTCAAAATTCAAATCTGCTTACGAAAGGAAGCGGATCCTCGGACGACAAATAATACAAACAAGTTAAACATCGAATCGTAAAAAATATTGAAAATTAGAATTATAAAAATATCGTTAATAATTTTTATACACGCGGGGCTTGCAAATATACGAGAGTCGAGAAGCTAAAAATAATAAATCGAAATTAATATACACAGTGAAATACAATGAGTTAAATATCGTTATTATATCGTTGTTATATTATATAGTTTTTTGGATATTGTCGATATATATATGTATGTAGCGCCGCAATCGGGAATTAAAAAAAAAAAGATTTGTCGCGTTTTTTCGAATTTGTCGCTAAATTTCGCGACATATTTGATAAGGAAACGAATCATGAATAAACCACGCGATGTTTTATTAATTGATGAGCAATGGACGCGCGCTCGGTCGATGACACAGTAGAGTAGGTCAAAATTCGCAAACCGAATAAACGTTATTCGGGAACGACGACGCATCATCGATGAAAAACTGATTTATTGCGGTCCCGGGAATGTAGTATAGTTGCGCGTTAATGATGTCAAAAACAAGACTTATGAGAGTTAATATAAACTCTCGCTCGTTTTCGATTTAGAGAAAAACACGCGACGCGACAACAAAACGCGATACCGTCATCGGTGTGCAATTTATATATCAGAGAGTATATGTACATAAGAAATATATTTCCATAATTCACTTTATCTCCTTCTACGGAGAAAAACTTTCATATATCATTAAACACGCGAGAAATTTTTCATCACAGTTTCGCGACCCCAAAATCGGTCGTGTTTATAATAAAAAAAAATACGCAGAACGACGCAGGTCTACTAGGCTTCTTTAAAATAAAGATTCAATATTTTTGAAACAAATTAATTTCGAAATATATATATTGTCATTGAAAATTCTCTGTGAGATGCCATCTTCGTGCGATATCGTTTGATTTTTGCCGCTCTCTTACTTTCCGCTTCTCTCGCGCGTTCCATATACGATTTAACCTAGTCCAAACCAAGAGATACTTAATTCCTAAGGGAGAACCCTTCGTCGGGGCTAGATTTAAACTCGCTCTGGTCGACCGAGTTATACATGAGAGCGCCGGTATGGGCGCAGCTGCGAGAGCTCGTGCCTCGTACTCGAGAGAGTTCGTCTTTTCTTTTCGATGGTGAGTTCGCCACTCGCATCTGGAACGCGCGTTTACAGCCGTCGTCGTCGTCGTCGTCGTCTGATATTTCTTCCCTCTCCTTCTCTCCTCTTCTTCGCCGCGAATATATACACCACCACGCCAAGAGTTCCGCTCGAGGTGGTTAAACCGAACGCTGTTTAGACCTTAATAAGCGTGACGCGCTTTTCACGTGATGTCGTCGTCGTTCTTTTTTACGCCCCCTTTCCACACGCTCCCGCGCTTACCACCCCCATCCCCCTCCCAACTTTTCGAACACGACGCATTCCCGTCAAGATAGAGTGGAGAAGCATACGGAGTTGTGTATTATGAAGTACATAACCCCTCGGCGAGAGAAACAATAGCCTTCGCGAATTCGTCAGGTCTGTGTATAATCCGCCGCGCGCTTTCAACCCCCTCTGTGCGGCAAAATACTCTCATACTCCTTCTCCCACCCACCGCATTCCCGGACTCCTCTATACTCCTTTAATCTCCTTTCGTTCGTTGCGTGCGGGTTGTAATTAAAATTTCTCGGAGATAAAATCAAGCGAGTGTTTTGAATATTTTGGCGCGTCTCTTCTTTTTTTTTTTTTTTTTATCTCTCTTTCCTCTTACCCTTAATTTCGGGCGCGGTTTGTGATTGACGCGCGTTCGCGCTCGCGGGAATCTCTCTGATACCCGCCCCCCCTTCGAGCGTATCGCACATAATTTCACGCGCTTATTTTCGTTAATTTAATTTTCGCATATTTTTGTTTGAAAGAATTATGCGCGTAAATCTCGCAACGGATGTGGAAAAAAGGAAGTCGCGCCACTTCCATATACACGTATATACATAATAGGATAAGTCGGGGAGAGATGGATCACTTTTTTTTTTTTAAGTCGAATTACGTAATAAATAATAGGACACGTGAAATAATCATTCGCGTATGATTTACTACACGTGTTGAACTTGTGATTATTATAAGTAACAAAGCGGAGAACATTTATACTTGTTTAAAAAATTGAAATACGAAAAATTAATAACAATGATCCACCCCCTCGAGTTGGACCGCTATGTATAAAATAGATCTCTACAAAAATGCAATTTTTTTTAACAATTTTGTTTTAACACAAAAACATTATCACACTTAATTTTCGATATATTTTACATTGTTAAATACGCACCGTTATTCTTAGTTGCGCTTAACAATTTTTCTTCCACTCATTTCTCTCTTTTAAACAACATCTTTAATTGCTCTTCGGCTTACTTGCCTCTTTCCGAGCCATATTAGCGGTTATATTTTTTGTTGGCATACTAAAAGAGAGCCGATAAAACCAGTGCTCCGACTATCTCCAATTCCTAATGGTCCATCTATCCCATTTTTAGAGATGGGGACCGCAGTGCAGTTTTTTACACAAGAAAATATTTGACAATTTTTACATAGGAAATCTTTAAAAATGTTTCACATTGATTAGAATATGTCGAAAAACTTGAGAAAATACGTATCTATTTTTAGAACGTTTTTTACAAAAACAAAAAGTGGTGAGCTAGAATTTTTCACACCTACTTGAAATCGAAGATACTCACCTGTTATGCAAATGCGATTCAAATAAATAAATCTCCTGCTTGTAAGTACGCACTTAGAAAAATACACACGCTGATATCTGACAAATAGTTTGGGAAATATGCGTGTGATCCGTCTCACCCACACACGGTCCATCTCTCTCCGACTATACATATATATATATGTATATGTATAAAAATGCAAACGTCAATTTACGAACTCGTAAACGCCGATAAACGTTTGCTCTCTCCGTAATGTTCTCTCTCCGATTTCATGTACGTATTTTAGTATTATCGATTTAGCGGCGATCAAAACGGGTCATTTTACTCCCGACCGGGACGCGTTGTCGCGCGCGCGCGCGCGCGCGTGCGCGCGATCAATATGGCTTTGAGCATTTTCATCAAAAGTATTTTCATCGTCGTCTTTCTTTTTATTTTTTTTTCACGCTCTTTGCAAAAACTCGTCGCTTCTTCAAAATCCGTGTCTCTCGTCGCTTCTAACGTAACGTTGGAAAAGCGTTCACGTGGCAATTCCATATTGCGCAAAGCGAATGTGTGTGTGTTCTTTCGAACAATTTTTCGGAGATTATTCATCAACTTTTGTTTGAAGCCTCGCGCAACGCCGCTTATAAGCGGCGTAGAAGTACACGCGGAACTAGTACACGGTTTACGGATAATAGTCACGCGGAATCCGCCGCTTGAACATCGAACCAAAATTGTACTTCGGCAAACGTGAACGCACACTGCGTGGAGATCTAAAAATAAATCCCTAAGGCTTGGCAAACTATCGTTTTATTTTTAGACGAACGGAGATACATATATATATGTGTGTATATATATATATATATCGTACAAAACCGGTATATCGATGTGTGTTAATATATCGACATGTACATACAATTGATTACATCACATCCGATAATTATCCGATTTACACGCATCTGGGGAGGGCTGGGACTTTGAGTTACGCGGTTTTTCGACAGCGAGAAAAAAATAAAGAGATTCTCCACAAATATCTGGAATCTAGCGGTTTGCCTAACATTAGAGCACACGACCTACATTTTGCGCGCGAAATGAAGTCTCGAGCGGATATCTACTTGCACGCGTGTTATATCGCGTGCGTGCGTGCACGCGAGAACGTTGCGAATGTATAAAACACGCGATTGTATTAAAAAAAGAAAAGACAATACTCTCGCATATGTGTGCGGTAGTACTTTCGAAATCGCGACGATCGCTCCGCGTCGCACACACACACGCAACAGGACTATACCCTCGCAGATGCGATAACCGTCGAGAAAGTCGCACGCGCGTGCGATCTTCTGTTTCACGGTGGATCGACGAGTGAGCGATCGAAAAAGGGAAGTAACGTGTCTTCTCATATGTCGTTGAAAGAAAATAATAATAATAGATACAATAGATCCGAGAAAATCTCGCTCAAAAGCAATCATCGTTTGAATTTCGACCGATCATCTGAAATTGTTACGCGTTCGAAGACAAACGTCAAGTATTTCTTTTTTTTTTTTTTTATGTGCGCGGTAACGTTGCACACGAATGTATTCTTTTCTTTCTCTCGTTTTCGTCGCCATCGTCGTCGTCGTCGTCGTCGTCGTCGTCGTGCTTCTGCACGTGGCGCACGTCCGTTATTCTTGTAGCGAGCGGCGCGCGACACGTCGTCGGTGCGCACATTGCGCCACGGACACCACGATTCACACCTGTCCGTCCGTCCCGAGCATAAATGTCCGCAAGAAGAACGATATCGTATGGTGCGCGTTCGGCTTTTTGGACCACCTGGCCGATATAACGTCGCCCGGCAGGGCCGTATCCAATTCTTTACAGCTCTCTCAGACCGGATTTATACGCACGTGACGCGCCAACGGGGAGCACGGTCAAGTATGTAGCAAGTTACCCGGTTACCTTCCTCAAAGGGAACAAAAACAACCGACCGACTATTGACGGTATAAACAACGCCTCGTTTGTCTCGTTATTTTTTTATTACGAGCAGCTATACTCGTTAGGGTTGGTTTTTCTTAATTTTCCAATCCGCGGTTTCGGTTCCAATCGCTTCCCGAGTGAGCGCAAGATGTTTTGTTTGGTACTTGACTCGCTTGACTTTTTTGTGTTTCTCATCCGCGGGAAAATCGTTACTTAGGCCGAGCGTTTCCGTTATAAGGTTGGTGCTCGG